GAACTCTACTAATATTATATTTTACTATAATCACGTAATAATCTCATCTAATTAAATACTTTACTATTATATCTATCTTCAAGACAACTTTATTTTAATAATTAACTAATACTAGTTAAGGTATATTATATATTTGATCAACAGATAAGGTTCACATTCACGTTCCCTCATTGAACTAAAATAAAAATGAATAAAAAAAAACTATATTTTACTAATTATTATTCCAAAAAATCATATTATCCAAAAATTCCTACTATACCGTGTATGGGTCACTTATGGCACAAATGGCAGAGTATTTCAGTAAATCAACTTGAAGCCAAAGGCCCAAGCCCAACAGGAAAAACCCTAATTCAACTTACAGGTAAAGGCCCAAGCCCAACATGAAAAACCCTATTTTCCCATTCCCTATATATTTTGGCCGACAGCCGCGAACCCTTCTCCTCGCACGAAGGATTTCTGCAGGCGACGTAGAGCTCCACAAAGCGGCTACTTCGTTTTCGTCTTTTGGAAAACATGGTGAGTAGATCTATCCGAGGACTTTATGTTATTCCATTTGTAATCTGGTTCCACCATAACAATAATGGGTGGTTTAGTGGAGATTTGTGGCGAAGTTCTTTGAAGCTTTATTTTGTCGTGATATCTTTCCGTCTCGGCTTCTAAATTCGTTGAAAATAGGAGTATGAAATCCCGAGCTTGATTGGGCATATGATTATATCTTTATTGTCATCAAGGCCTAGGTTTAAGATCTGTATCTTAGTCGATGGACCACTATGAATGTATTGGCTTTACCCCATTTGCTTTAGGGTTTGCCTGGAGACTGTCCTTTAACTTGTGGATTTGAAGGATTGTGTCACTTAGTGGCGGTTAGGTTGTAAAGGAATTCACGCCTGTAACTGTGTGGCTGCAGTCTCTTGTTTTTAATCCATGCCTCTCTTTGTTCATATGGGAAATCAGAGAATACCTATCTGTGTTAAATTGACTTCATTTTGTTTCTTTATGACTTACTATAGTAAGTTTCTGCATTAGCTTATCTTTAAAATACATGAATCTTTACTTTTGTTTTTGTTCTGGATTTCATAGTCTGGAAGGAGAAAGACCAGGGAGCCCAAGGAAGAAACTGTGACTCTTGGACCTTCTGTGAGGGAAGGCGAGCATGTTTTCGGCGTGGCTCACATTTTTGCCTCATTTAATGATACATTTATCGTAAGTTGAAAGATGCATATTATTTGATTGCTCATTCGTTGACAGAATGATAAATTTGTTGTTTCAACTACAGCATGTGACTGATCTTTCTGGGAGGGAAACCCTTGTCCGCATCACAGGTGAAACCATCAAGTAGTTTACTGTATTTTTTTCAATACTGTTAAAATGGAGTGTCAGTAGTGAACTATAAACTGGGTGTGTAAGGGTATTATTTTGTTACTATTATTACCTGGAAGTGTAATTTTGTATTTTGATCAACTTTAGGTGGTATGAAGGTGAAAGCTGACAGGGATGAGTCGTCCCCATATGCAGCTATGCTTGCAGCACAGGATGTTTCTCAGAGATGCAAGGTTTCATCCTCTGTTAATGCTTAGTACTGTTTATTAACAACTCCCTTTCTCAATCTTAGTCATTATATTCGTACTAGTTCCAAAATTTCTTTTTCCAGCTTGTGAAATCCCATTTTCTTGAACTATTTGTTTCGTCAATGAATATATTACATCATTGAGGCCATGTTTTTTACCAATCAGGAGCTTGGTATTACTGCCCTCCACATTAAACTGCGTGCCACTGGAGGAAACAAGACCAAAACGCCTGGTCCAGGTGCCCAGTCTGCACTACGTGCCCTTGCCCGTTCTGGAATGAGGATTGGTCGTATAGGTGAAGCCCTTTTCTCCATGCCAATGATTGATTCAGAACATAATACACACATTCAACTTTGCACTTAAACTCTCATTACTGTATTCTGTTGAAAATATCTACAAGCTAATTCCTTTCCACGTGCTGTTTGATATGTTTTTTCAGAGGATGTGACTCCAATTCCGACAGACAGCACCCGCAGAAAGGGTGGTAGGAGAGGAAGAAGGCTGTAGGCTTGCTCCCGGATTCCTTCTGTTATGGCTGTGTTAGTGGTTTTTCCATGGTTATAATGCTCTCCTTAATCTTGCTACCTTAGTATTTCAGAACTCCAAACTTGTCTTTGATTATTGCTTTGTCAGGGATGTTTTCTCTTCGATTTTGTTTTATGTAGAACCGAGATTTATTAAAGAGGAATTTTTGGCTTTAATTTAACAAATCAATACGATGCCACCTTTGGTTTTATTATTGAAGGAAATAGTTGTTGGTGTTGCAGGGGTGCAATAGAATATATGGGTACTTTCGGATCTATTAATTTAATTATTGGCTATAAATTTCAATTCGAAACAGTTTGGATGTGTCTGCCAAGGCGAGGTATGGTTCAACGAGATTATTTTTCACAATTTTATTCTTAAATTTCATGCACAGGCATATTATTTGTAGCAATTTTAATTTCAGGCTTTACATTTTTTCGGATGCAGATTATAATTAGTCACACATTAATATGTACTAAATGTCATTAGAACTTCACTTGTGTTTTATTGAATTTCTGTTTGTAGAAGAGTAAAAGAATGTAGACTGTTTGTTTCTAACTTTTACCTAGTTGCTAGTTGGTTAAATATGGACGTTATTGGCCTAAAATTTTCAATTCAAGGTCTACATTACATGATTTTAGATCTATTTGAACCCTTTTATTTTGTTTGGAATTTGGAATGAATGTGATTATGTTATACTAAAAATTGTGTGGAAGCTTCTAGAAATTTATGGCTCAACATCATTGTCCCCGACCACTAATGTAAATTGCAATTTTCTCGTTTTCAAATACTTCGTTTTAATATTTCAACTCTCTTTATTCCAAATAGATGGTAAATAGTTGTTCTAGAAAAAGCTAAATGGTATACTAATTTTTGAAATGTAAGATGCTAGACTTAATGTTAAGTCACAAACAAATGAAAAAAAATCATCTTCTGTAAATTTTAATTTTCAGTTCAATTACAATATAAAGGTGGCAGAATGCAGAAGAGATGGGTCTCCGGTTAAACATACTAGTCTTTTGTTTTGAAATCACTTACTAGTCTCAATTCAAAATTTGTAATTAATAAAAAATAATAGCAGTCATAGTTTTTCTTAGGGGGTGGATTTTACGCGTTTTAATGGGCCAGCTTTAGTCTCCAATTTCCCTGGACAACATTGAATAAGGTTGAGATGTTGTGACTTTGTGAAAAAAATTTATTCATATTCCTTGTTTTTGTAAACAAACAAGCTATTTTTATTGGCAAAACGTGTCATTTCTAATTGTTTATTTGTTTTTGGGATTTTATGTCCTTTGGACAAAGTCGATGAAAAAGTGGATGGGTACTAAAACAAAGGTTTTTTTGAGCTTTTAAGATGTCTGGGTATTCTAGAATGTCCACATGGGAAGGATAATGCAATTAAGTATATTTATATATTACATGTACCTATAAAATAAACTTCAATTAAATTATATAATATATCTATTTACTTTTAATATTTTGAACGAATTATGAATAATATATATTATTTTAAATCCATAATTTGAAAGCAATATCTTTTTTAATTATCGACTAACATTTGATATTTTTCTTCTTAAAATAATATAATTTGATAATATAATTAATATCTTTTTTAATTATCTACTTACATTTGATATTTTTTTTCTTAAAATAATATAATTTGATAATATAATAAATGAATTTGATCTCAAATAACATTAATTATATGAAAATGAAATTTATATGCATTCCTATTAAAAGAGTCTTTATTAATATGAATTCTACCTAATAACATACAAAAATTAATATATATATCCAATTAATATAAACAACCAAAATATTAAATTAATTTTAAAAAAATCTACTATATAAATAAAAATTATATTAAATTAATGTACAAATTACACTATTTGTAATGACATTTTTGGAACATTATATAAATTTACAAAATTCTCATAAATAAATACAACAAAACAAATGTAGCTATTCAAATAATGACGGACATCTAAAATTTCGGACACCTAAAATTCTAGACTATCTAAAGACGTCGAAAAACAAACAACCCTCAGTGGTCGTAGTTTTTTTTATTAATATAGTGTTTTTTATCAATCAAAAAATCAGAATGGAATTATTTAAAAGATTAAATATAAATAAATAATCAACGCAAATATTAGAAGCTAAATGGGGCTCCGATTCTCTCTCTCCCGCGCCCGGTTTGAGCAAATACTGCCAGCTGTACAACTACAATTCACCGAAACCGGAAACCGCCGTCTACTTTATATAGCCGGAAACAACCACTCTCTTTCCGCCATTGCTCCCTCCCTCGCTCCAAAATTTTCCGGCGAAATCGCAGAAGAAGGTGAAAGAAGCGACGACGGGACCCTCGCCGTCGCCGTGATATTCAACAGACCGTATTTGATTCTGGTTTTCTCTTCTTCTGCAAAAGAATTATGAGTGGCGACGGGAAAAACAGCGCGGTATTGGGCGATCCACAGAGTCAATACCATTACGGTACGTTTCAGGGTGTCGCAAACTATTATCCTTCTGCCTCACAGCCGCAGCCGCAGCCGCAACCCCATTCTGTCGTTGGTTTCCCTCAACCGGTTGCGCCGCCCCGAGTTTCTGGCCCTCACCCATATTACCATGGACATCTGGGTTACCAAGCCGTCCCGGGTAAATAACTCACCTATGTTCATGAATTTGGAGGATATTTTTATGGTTTGAATTTTGGTAGATTAGTTACGAATTCAGAAGCTAAAGAACGATGTCGGAGGAGTTTGTGCCGAAATTTTGCTGAAATAATCTTGTTTGAAGGGTATACACGAATTATTTGCTTTGTTTAGGAATTGACTGTATTTCTTATGGTCTTGATCAATGATCATGATGATTTTGCTTGTTATTTCTTTCCACATATCCGTATCCTTTGGTTTGATGGGTTTTTAAATGGGTTTCTGATGCTCACTGTGGTTTCCATTGATTTGCTTCATTGGATGCTTGGGCTGGGCTATTGATCTAATGGTATGAATGTATGAATAATATTCCAATATTTGGTTTGATCATCGCTCTCTAATTTTGATTATCGTCCTCTAGTAAAGTGTAGTTGAATGGTTCAAGGGCCGACTTATTGAATTAATGATGATCTTGGTAGCAACAGGGTAGGATTTTTAGTCTTGAGTTTGTATCTGGTATGAGGACATGGCAGTTTCTGTGCAAGAGAGGAAGGAGGAGAGAGTTTGGGAAATACATCTCTCCCCTTTGTCATGGAGATCACAAAAAGAAAATTTCCGATTGACTTGAATTTTAAAAAAGGAGAATACCTGCAGAACTCTCTACTTTGAGATTACCGGTACCACCTAGCTACTAGAAACAGGGTGCTCTCTCTTAAAATTCCGCAACCTCTTTGAAGTTGTTATTAAGAATCCAAATGGTGTTT